TGAGCTGCGGCGCTGGCCCCACAATTTCATTTTCAGTTTTCTACCTGCCAAGAAAAAGCAAAGCAAACAGGTATGGTGCAATCATGAATGCTTGACGATGCATCATTTTTCTTTAAGGCCCATCTATGTGGAGTGTCTTACATCTGCCTCAAACCCTCATAGACCCTTCTATCACTTTGTTGTACAGATCTCTTATATAGTACTTACCATATTCTAGACTATAGCTATTCATATTTTATAGTTACATACTATATTCTTTTCTTATCAGCTACTCTCTCTTCCTCACCTTGTTCTATCTTTTATAACTGGATCTTTCAACCAGGGGATTGTAAAACTCATGGAATTAAACATAAAATTAGTGTTTCAGTATAACAATTATAAACACATTTTCCTGGAGAGATCTACAGTTCTCCACCAATTCTCAAAACTGATCTGAGAGTCAAAAACAAAGTTAAGGAACTCCAGTGTAATAAAGGACTGTAAAAGGCATTCTTGTGTCCTCTACAGTGCTTAGAATCGACCTTCCATATGGACAAAAATTTGTGAATATAACATTTTAAAAAAAGATTTATTTACTTGACAGGGGGGTAGGGAGAGACATAAACAGACAAACAGACACAGACACACACACACACACACACACACACACACAGATTTTCTATCTGCTGATTCACTCCCCAGATGGCTGCAATGGTCAAGGTTGGTGCAGGCTAATAGCCAAGCTCAGAACACAAAAAATTACTTACAGACATCTGTTATCTGTGTGAAGTAAATTAAACTTTTTCAAGGTGTCATGTCATTATGCATGACAAAAATGATAATTCATGTCAATTTTATCAATGTAGTATCCAGATAAATAATAAGCATTTTGGCAACTTGCAATAGGCATTTCAAGGTACAAAGAGCATCTTTTATTTAGCGAACACTTTAGTAAATATTTTTAAAATTTGTAAGTATAAAAGATCCTAAAATTCACTGAGTGGTCTTAACAGATGAATGGAAGTGACAGAAGAAAAGGTAAATGGACACAAAGATGGACAACAATTATTCCATGTAAAGAATACAGAGAAAAAAGATTGGACAGGGCAGCAGGGAGATGTTACATAAATATTAAATATTCTAATAAATGTATTGTTGGAATCCCAGAAGGAGAGAAGAGGAGAAAAAGGAATAGGAAAAAAAAGTTTGATTTAAAAAGGCAAAAAAAAACCTCTCAAATTTTATAAATACAAAAATTTACAGATTCGACATGCTCAAAAGTCATCAAGTGGCCCGCACTGCGGCTCACTAGGCTAATCCTCCACCTTGCGGCGCTGGCACACCGGGTTCTAGTCCCGGTTGGGGCGCCGGATTCTGTCCCGGTTGCCCCTCTTCCAGGCCAGCTCTCTGCTGTGGCCAGGGAGTGCAGTGGAGGATGGCGCAAGTGCTTGGGCCCTGCACCCCATGGGAGACCAGGAGAAGCACCTGGCTCCTGCCTTTGGATCAGCGCAGTACAGCGCACCGGCTGTGGTGGCCATTGGAGGGTGAACCAACGGCAAAAAGGAAGGCCTTTCTCTCTGTCTCTCTCTCTCACTGTCCACTCTGCCTGTCGAAAAAAAAAAAAAAAGACATCAAGTAAAATCAGCATAAACAACCTCATGTTAAGGTATCTCATGGTGAAACCTTTTTTTTAATAGAAAACTTTTATTTAATAAATATAAATTTCAAAAGTACAACTTTTAGATTATAGCAGTTCTTCCCCCCATACCCACCCTGCCACCCACAAACCCAAACCATCCCATCTCCTACTCCCTCTCCCATCCCCTTTTTCATTAAGATTCATTTTTTTGTTTTTGTTTTTTTTTGTTTTTGTTTTTGTTTTTGACAGGCAGAGTGGATAGTGAGAGAGAGAGAGACAGAGAGAAAGGTCTTCCTTTGCCCTTGGTTCACCCTCCAATGGCCGCCGCAGCCAGAGCGCTGTGGCCGGCGCACACGCTGATCCGAAGGCAGGAGCCAGGTGCTTCTCCTGGTCTCCCATGGGGTGCAGGGCCCAAGGACCTGGGCCATCCTCCACTGTGCTCCCGGGCCACAGCAGAGAGCTGGCCTGGAAGAGGGGCAACCGGGACAGAATCCAGCATCCTGACCAGAACTAGTACCTGGTGTGCCAGCGCCGCTAGTCGGAGGATTAGCCTAGTGAGCCGCGGCGCCGGCCAAGATTCATTTTTAATTATCTTCATATACAGAAGATCAACTCTATACTGAGTAAAGATTTCAACAGTTTGCACCCACACAGACACACAAAGTATAAAGTACTGTTTGAAGACTATTTTTACCATTAATTCACATAGTACAACACATTAAGGACAGAGATCCTACATGGGGAGTAAGTGCACAGTGACTCCTGTTGTTGATTTAACAATCGACACTCTTATTTATGACATCAGTAATCACCTGAGGCTCTTGTCATGAGCTGACAACGCTATGGAAGCCTCATGAGTTCACAAACTCCGACCTTAATTAGATAAGGCCATAATCAAAGTGGAAGCTCTCTCCTCGCTTCAGAGAAAGGTACAGTGAAACTTCTGAAAGCTCAAGATGGGTAACAGGTCTTCAAAGCATCAAGAGAAACAGAAGGGCACAATATCCAGTAAATAACAGAATGAGTTAATTTATGGCTGAGTTTTCATCAAAAACCATAGAGGATTGAAGAGAATATTAAAGCATATTTAAAGTACTAAATGAAAACAACATAAACAAACAAATAAAACCATCCTAAAGACTGTATTTACAGAAAATACTCATCAAGAATAAAAAAAAAATATATTTTCAGATGAAAGACAACTAAGACTGTTAATCACTAATATACCTACAGTACAAGAATTGCTAAAGAAAATTGCTCAATAGAAAGCAAAAGCTAATAGAGAGCGGCCAGCGCTGTGGTGAAGTGGGTAAAGCCACCGCCTGCAGTGCAGGCATCCCATATGGGCACTGGTTTGAGACCTGGCTGCTCCACTTGCGATCCAGCTCTCTGCTATGGCCTGGGAAAGCAGTGGAAGATGGCCCAAGTCCTGGGCCCCTGTACCATGTGGGAGACCCAGAAGAAGCTCCTGGATCCTGGCTTCAGATTGGCACAGCTCTGGCCATTGCAGCAACTAGAGAGTGAACTATTGGATGGAAGACCTCTCTCTCTCTGCCTCTCCTCTCTCTTTATAACTCTTTCAAATAAATAAATAAATCTTAAAAAAAAAAAAAAAAAAACACGCTGGGACCAGCACTGTGGAACAGTGGGTTAAAGTCCTGGCCTGAAGCGCTGGCATCCCATATGGGCACTGGTTCTAGTCTCGGTTGCTCCTCTTCTGATCCAGCTCTCTGCTATGGCCTGGGAAAGCATGGCCCAAGTCCTTGGGCCCCTTCACCCATGTGGGAGACCCAGAGGAATCTCCTGGCTCCTGGCTTTGTATTGGCGCAGCTCTGGCAGTTGCAGCCATCTGTGGAGTGAACCAGTGGATGGAAGACCTCTCTCTCTCCCTCTCTCTCTGCCTTTCTGTAACTCTTTCGAATAAATACAATAAATCTAAAAAAAAAAAAAAAGCGCTATTAGATGATATTGATGTCTTCACTAAAAATAACAAAATATTATAGATGCAAAAGAATATTTTTTCTTTCAATTATTACCCTTTAAAGAAATTTTTTTAAAAAAAAGAATTATAAATGATCACAAAACTACTTAGAAAAAGAAAAAGCAAGCTATATCATGATGATTATAAAGGGAATTCCTATATTCCATTAAAGCTAAACATGTACTAAAACAGAAAAAAATCTATATTAAGGAGGCTATATTGATTTTCCAAATAACATATGTAATTGTCAAAAAATTGATTCTAAATCTTTTGGCAATTAAATGTCAATGTCATAACTTGGACAAGCATTAAGTAAATGATTGGCAAAGACATTTAAAAATGCTGTTTTCCCAGAAATTGTTATAAACCATAATACAACAAAAAGTTCACAGGAAATGGAATTACAAGGCAAGGCAGGGTTGGGTGTCGGGTACAGCAGTTAAGATGCTCGCATCCTATATCAGTGCAACTAATGTTAAGTCCCAGTTCTGCTTCAGAATCCAGCTTCCCGCTAATGTGCACCCTGGAGACATGAGGTGATGGACCAAGTACTCAGGTCCCTGCCACTCAGATGAGAGACTTGAATAGAGTTTCAGGCTCCTGGCTTCAGCTTGGCTCCATCCTGACTGCTGTGGGCATTTGAGTAGTAAACTAGCTGATGGAAGATCTCTGTCTGTCTCTGTCTCACTCCTTCTTTCTCTGTGTCTCTCTGCCTTTCAAATAAATAAAATAAATACAAAATATATACAATTTTTGAAATTGTATACCTATGCATAATTTTCTGTGATATGCATTTTCCTTTAAGTCTTTGAAGACCTCTCATATGTATTTCTCCAGCAGAATCCAGGAAAATCTTTATATTCAGATTCAATATATAAAGTTTAGATTCTACATCATAAATATTCTACCTACTACATATTAAAATACTATATTTTGACATAAGCTATTTTGATTAATTGCTTCAATGGTGCTTTTTTAAAAAATTTGCATTAATATTAAAGAATTAGCAGAATATAAAATTCTTCCGTAGATGTATTTACTAAAAAGCCAATTTTCCTAATACTTAGTCTTGTTCAGTATTCAGTGCCTGCTGTGGACCAATACCATAAGTGCTGGATAGAAGTGCATAAAACAGCCATGTTCTACTAGACAAATGTTGCTGCTTCTCTGGAACACAGATTTATATCAACACTGTTTCAAAATATCTTAATGTTTTTATAAATATACTCATGCTGGTAATATTTTTGAAAAATTCAATGTATCCCTCTGACCTTTAATGAAAAATTTGGAGATAATTCCTTTTTAATACATAAAAAGGTTTGCCTGCCACGGTATTTGCTTTTCTCCATAGCAATATCAATATATCAAAGTAGAAATGACTCTAAACTCGTAAAGGTTTACCTGAAATAGGAATATTCTGTGAGACTGATAACTGCACATCTCCGGTTCCTGGTGGCATGTCAACAACTAAATAGTCCAGTTGACCCCAATCTACCTAAAAACCAAGATGACAGAAATAACATCATTGTGCATCAATTCCAATGAACAGTGACATAAACAAAATTAATGCATCAATAACAAATCTCTACTAATAGCCATTATTGAACCATCACTAGGTTCCAGGCACTGTGCTGAAGGCCTAGGATACATGGATGAGCTAGTGACAATCACTGCTTTGAGCACATCTTTCCCGAATGATAATCTTAAATTTCCAAATGAACCTTCCACATGTACACACACTAATGGCAAACCCTTTTCACAATTTGGAACAATCACTTATTTTTACTGGGTCTAGCCAATGTTTTGTCTGAGAAATCTTATTGTTCAGTCGTTTAGGTTTTTGGGATAGCGTTTGCTTTAATTTTTAAGTTTTTTTATAAAAATAAAACATTAATTAGGAAACAAAACTAAGAAAAAATTAAATATAACTAGAGTCTTAGTGCCATTAACATTTTAATTTTTTCTTTGCAGGCTTTTTTCCTTTTTTTAAAAAAAAGTTCATTTATTTGAAACACAGAGTTATGGAGAGAGAGACAGAGAGAGAGAGCTCTTCCATCTGCTGGTCCACTACCCAAATGGCTGCAATGGCTGGGGTTGGGCCAGACCTAAGCCAAGAACTACATAAACCTATTCCCATATGGATGCTTAGATCTCAGGCAGTATCTTAACTCGCTATGCCACAAAGCCCATCCCCTTTCCAGCCTTTTAAAAAAGTACCTATACCCAGAATATTCAGTGTGTAAGCAAGTCCTTAATCCAGGGCCAGAATTCAGATGGGTCTCATTGGCACTTCAGGCACTTTCCCTTGGAGATTCCTTTGCAAATGGCCCCAGGATCCTCACACTGGTTAGGTATTGACAATGAAGTGGTTTTATGGTCCCTGATAACAGAACTTACAATATCTAGAGAAACAGATATTAAGGAGATAATCATCCTAATAAATATATTCACAAGTAGCACTGTGAAGCCAAGTGCAAAGAGTATTAACTTTCAGAAACTGAAAGACTAGCATGGCTAAGAGAGCAGTGAATGAGAAAGACTACCATTCATGTACTCTTTTTCATGATTTGTCTTCCTATAAAACTATAAGCTGAATTGGTATATCTAAACATAGAATGAATACACAGGAAGTGCTTAATTAAGTTTTCTTTCAATGAATGAATGAATGAATGAACACATGCAAAGGTTTTGAGTTTTTTTGTTTGTTTTTTTAAGATTTTAGAGGGAGAAGGAGGGGGAGAGGGAGAGGGATCTGGAGAGGGAGAGGAAGAGGTTAATTTTCCTTTTGCAGGTTCACTATCCAAATGGCTACAATGGCCAGGAATGGGCCAGGCAGAAGCCAGGAGCCTGGAACTCTATCGGTTTCAAACCAGCATTCTGATATGAGAAGCTGGCATCTCAGGAGGTAGCTTAGCTTTCTATGCTGTAACACTGGCCCCAAGATTTCTTTTTTCTAATTCAAGTGAAACTAGGTATATAATTCCATGTTCTACTTCTTAAGAATCTAATAAAGTATAATACTCCTTTCCCATACAATCATACTTTTTTAAATAAAAAGTTTAGATGAGGGGCCGGCATTTTGGTGCAGGAGGTTAAGTCACATCTTACAGTGCTGGTATCACATACGAGTGTCAGTTGGAGTCCCTGCTGCTCCACTTCTTATCCAGCTTCCTGCTAATGGACCTGGGAAGGCAGGGGAAGATAGTCCAAGTACTTGGGACCCTGCCACCCACATGGGAGACCAGTATGGAATTCCTGGCTCCCGGCTTTGGTCTGGTCCAGCTTTCGCTGTTCTAGCCATTTGGGAAGTGTACCTGCAAATGGGAGATATTTTCTCTGTGTGTGTGTGTGTTTCTCTCTCCCAAAAAGATACTTTTTATTTCACATCCTATGCTCTGAAATCCATAGTGATATGGGCAGACAGATGAGATTAAATTAATTGTAATTGTGAGCTGAAGACATTGCCCCCCCCTCCACCCAGTGCGTGATCTCATACCCCTATATGATCCCGCCTGTATAACCCAACTGCCAATCAGACTATGTAACCACTCCCCTTTTGGGAGTGAATAAAAAATGTGGAGCGCGCTCCCCCACCACCTTGCTCTCCCACCTCTGGGCTTATGGCCTTTTGGCTGCCCCTCGCCCTGTTTGCCCCCGCACCACACGGTTTTGCGGTCATTCCTGCCTGTGCAGTTCTTCTCCCCATGCAGCTCCGCCCTATGAACACCTGCACGTGGCCCCTGGTCTGCTCTCTCACTAGGTATGGAACTTAAATAAAGCCCTCCGTTTCTGTGTGTTTCTCTCATTTCACCAAATAAATTTTAAACCTTACCACGTCGCCTCTTTTATTCAAGTTGATATTTAGAATTCTTATCTAAATATATGACAAGGACCCTTGAGATATTAATATTAAAATAGTTAATAATTTAAAAATAAACAATTTCATCAGCACAAGCAGCCTGACAAGTTTCATTGTTTCAGCAAACATCAAATGACTGGTTCCAAAAATTTCTCACTGCTGTTCCCTGGCATTTAGTCACATTGATCTTGTTGCCTCCAAGTTCTTATTTCTTTAAACAGAACTGCTATTAAGATTCCAAGGGACTGGAAACAAAAATTCACCATTAAGGCAGTTCATTACAAAGAATTCTTAAATGGAATTTAAATTATCTAGAAACAAGGAAATCTGGATCAGTATCTTCATCACACACAGTAGGTTTCACATAAATGTTGTTTGGAATTGAAACTATACTGAGTATCTGAGTTCCAGCTTTGCTTCGTTTTTCATTTATTTAATTGAAAGGCATAGTTACAAAGATAAAAGGAGAAACAGAGAGGTCTTTGATTTGCTGGTTCATTCCCCAAATGGTCACAAGGTCTGGGGCTTGGCCAGGCACAAGTCAGGAGCCTTGAACTCTAACCAGGTCTCCCATGCGGGTGGCTGAGGCCCAAGCACTTAGGCCATCTTCTGCTGCTTTCTCAGGTACCATTAGCGGGGAGCTGGATCAGAAGTGGAACAGTGGGGACTCAAACTGGAGCTCATTATGGGATACCTGTATCACAAGTGGTAGCTTAACCTGCTGCACTGCAATGCTTACTTACTGAATTCCAGTTTTATAGCACTCACTCACACTAACATTGAAATACACTGGCTGCCAGTAAGTTCCAGTTAACTTGTAAAACATCCATCAGAAGCACTCATTTTACAATGATTTGGGGATTCTCAAAACTTACTTGTTTACTCTATGTTTTACAAAGCGTAAGAAATAAGTATTGGCAAAACACCCAGGGAGGGCAGGCACTGTGGCACAGGGGGTTAAGGCACAGGTTGGAACACCCATTGCCTTACTGGCATGTGAGATGCAGTCCCAGCACCTCCACTTACCATCCAGCTTCTTGCTAATGCATCCTGGGAGGCAGCAGATGATGGCTCAAGAGTTTGGGCCCCTGCCACCTATGAGACAGACATGGACGGAGTTCTGGGCTTCTCATTTGGCCTGGCCCAGGCCCAGCTGTTGTGGGCATTTAGGGAGTGAACCAGCAGATGGACATTCTTTCTTTCTCTGTCTCCCTCTCTCTGTCACTCTGCCTTTCAAGTTGATGAAAACAAATTAAAAAGAAAAAATATCATTTAGTGAAACCTGGCGGCGGATCCAGATTTTGTGTGGTCTGAAGCATTTGCAATTTGAGTGGTCCTCTCTAAGGATAAGAAAATAAAATTACAAATGCAAAGTTAGGTACAGCTTATCCTCAACTTATGATGGGGATAATGTCCTGATAAGTCCATTGTGAGCCGAAAATATTGTTAATCAAAAATGCATTTAATACGCCTAAATTTCTGAACTTCACAGCTTAACAACACAGTTGTTTCTCCTTGTGCTCAGTTACAGGGTTCACTGGAAGCTGCAGCTCCATGATGCTTGCCCAGCATCATGAGAACACCACACTAAGGCCACAGCAGAGAACTAGATCAGAAGAGGGGCATCTGGGTCTCGAACTCGCACCCATATGGGATGACTGCGCTTCAGGTCAGGGTGTTAACCCACTGCACCACAGCTCCGGCCAGCCCCAAATTAGAGTTCTTTAAGGTAGTCCAGGGATGACCTTTGGATAGAAGTGAAATTGCAGCAGGGAATTCAGAAATGTGGTTGCAAAGTCACAGAAGTGCATCAGATCTGAAGACAGATATGTAAACAGGAAAGTGGGAAAATCAAAATCAAAACCAGACCTTCTCCCTCTGGTCCAACTATAACACAGTAGGGCAACTATAGTTACCCGTAATACACTTCACACATATTTCAAAATAGCTAAAAGAGAGGATTTTGAATGTTCTCACTGCAAGGAAATGATAAACTTTAAGGTAACAGATACCCTAATTACTCAGATTTTATCATTATGCAAGATATACATGTATTGAAATACCACAATGTCACCCATAAATATGTATAGTTATCTGACAATCAAAAATAACAAACATACATATACACACACCCAACCACAACCAGGACCATGATAGCTGAAAAAAATGAGATGAAGCACAGGTTAGGAGCAGCGGTTTAGACCTGAATCTGCCCAGCTAGATGCCTCTTTATATACACATGATCTTCATTCTCTACTAAAGTGTTTCCTCTACAGTATATCTAAAGAGATCCAGCACTTTTGGATCCAAATACAACGCTGTCACTGAGCTTTTGTCCAAAGCCATTCAAGTAACAGTTGATTTTTTATTTATTTTTGTGATATAGTGAAAAATATATTTGGTCTATGTCCCCATTTCTGGACATAGAATCCTAAATCCTTCAGTATCTCCAGAGTGATAAGAATGTCTTTTGTATGCTAATGAATTGCTAGTGGCTGGGGACTTCTAGCTAGCCTCAGGATGGGGCTGGTTGCCAGGGGAACCAATCCTGTGATTAGAGGGTTGGAACTTTCAGTCCTATCCCCCAGCCTCCAGGGAGGAGAGAAGGGATTGAAGGTTGAGTTGATAAACCCGTG